TTGTTATTATTACAGTTTAACATTATAAAATTAACAAAAATAATATAAAACTCATATTCTGGTGAAATAGCCACATGGCAGCTGAAAACCGTATATTCCCTTCCTGTTCTCCCACTTGTTGGTGCATTCTTTCCAAAAATCTGGACTTTTTTAAAACGCCACATGGGACGCGGGACAAATTGTTAAAAATTGAGACTGTCCCGTCAAAAGTGGGACGTCTGGTCACCCTAGGTAACTCTCGAAAGGATTCTTCAGTAATGATTGGTAAAAGGACTAATGATTTGACTACTCAAAGACAAGGCAAACAATTAACTCTATAGAGCCTCTCTGACTCGCAAGACAGTTGTTTCCTGAGTTGCTTTCCATGTTTGTTTTTGGAACTTTTAACACATTTAGCCACAGAAACAAAAACATGAGAGATGGTGCCTTCTCTGGGAAGCCAGAGAATTTTCAAGAGCAACACTACTGTAATAACCAAAAAAATCATATAAAGTAGCAGAAATATATTTGCCCTATATAATTGCCACTGTTTAAACACTTATTGCAATAGTCTCCTGATAAAATGCAATAACAGCTTTTAAGAAATGAAAATACAATAATAACAACAGCCACTGTCATAAAGCATGAAGCATTTTGTTCTGGGTGAAGCACTTTACACAAAGTTCAGCTGGTTCTCACCACATTGTTAAGGGGTATTATTATCACTCTCATTTCAAAAAGGCAGCTTAGAGATGTTCAGTGACTTGCTGTACGTTACACAATTAGTAAAGTGGTCAGAGTCAACCCCAAACCTGAACCCTTCCACCATCCTTGGACAAAACAAACAAACAAACAAAAAACCTCAAAACACAGTGGTGGAGGGAGGGGGATTGGAGGGATCACTTCTGTGGTTTATCTTACAAGGGTACAAGTGAATCTTTCTAAGAGTAGAATATGAATGTTTTAACACAATAACTAAGAAAATGACATGAAGGTTACAGTTTGATGGAAGTGTTTCGGATTGTGTGTGAAAACACCACACTGTACCCCAGAAGTGCATTAACGTACACAGTTACCATTCAATAAAAAACAAAAACAAAAACAGTAACTCTCTGTAGACATTAATTGATGTGAA